GTTGATAACTCTATTTTTAAAGTTGTCCACCATTTTATGGCTTAGGAATGTAAATAAATAAACTTCCCTTGGCAATAATCCTGCAATACATGCACATTTTTTTTCTGTAAATGCTAAATCTATTACCTGTATACTGAAAATGGCATACTGACTTTAAAGAAAATAGAGAATGGTAAAAGCGGTCAACTTGTATATTCAAGTTGCTAAATATTCAAGATGCAGTCATTTGTGGCAGTCGGTCACGCAATCGGATATATAATTTTTAATGAAATGAATTTCGAAGCAATGCTCGTGTGGCGTCCCTCATGCACTGTTGACATTAACAAAAATTTCCGGTTCGGTAGTAGGTTTACCTCAAAATCAGCATTTTTGGACATTGGCCCTTCTAGCTCTTGTTATAGTATATATAGTAAAATGTACATTATACACTGTACTGATTGAGACGGATTTTGGTGTCTGGAAAGTGTTGTAACATGCTTTTGACTACGAATAATGAATTATGAATTAAGATCACTGCCATTCTGTAATAATTATTTTGCTGTTTCTCGTGGAACCTCTGGTGATGGCCGGCGGAGCCCTGGCTAAGAATCACTGATATAAGGTCTGCTGTGGCACCCGCGAAATTTCTGCCTTTCACAGGGCAGAAAGGAGGCATGGCAAACATGGAACGTTTGGCGAAGTTGGCAACAGTACCCATTGCCCAGCAATAGTGAGTGATGAAAATATCTCGAAAAGTTTATCCTCATGTACAGTGCTGTTTTTTTTTTTTTTTGCATATTCCAAAAAACTCCAATATATCTAAGGGCCGAAAACAAGAAGGGCCTATGTCATTAAAGTCAATGTTGAAAAAATATATATTTGAAAGTTTGCTCCCTTAATTGAAATTCGGCCAAATAAATCCAAGAAATAGTTTTTACTGTGATTAATCAAAGTGTGTTGCATTACTCTAATCCTTCTTACATAACGAAAATAACGAATATTTTTCATAACGAAAAACATGCAGAAAAGAAATTATTGTAGAGCTTTCAAAACAAACACTGCAAAAAACTGTTTTGTTGTTTAATTAATAATTTAAGACATTTATTGCTGTTGATAACTCTATTTTTAAAGTTGTCCACCATTTTATGGCTTAGGAATGTAAATAAATAAACTTCCCTTGGCAATAATCCTGCAATACATGCACATTTTTTTTCTGTAAATGCTAAATCTATTACCTGTATACTGAAAATGGCATACTGACTTTAAAGAAAATACAGAATGGTAAAAGCGGTCAACTTGTATATTCAAGTTGCTAAATATTCAAGATGCAGTCATTTGTGGCAGTCGGTCACGCAATCGGATATATAATTTTTAATGAAATGAATTTCGAAGCAATGCTCGTGTGGCGTCCCTCATGCACTGTTGATATTAACAAAAATTTCCGGTTCGGTAGTAGGTTTACCTCAAAATCAGCATTTTTGGACATTGGCCCTTCTAGCTCTTGTTATAGTATATATAGTAAAATGTACATTATACACTGTACTGATTGAGACGGATTTTGGTGTCTGGAAAGTGTTGTAACATGCTTTTGACTACGAATAATGAATTATGAATTAAGATCACTGCCATTCTGTAATAATTATTTTGCTGTTTCTCGTGGAACCTCTGGTGATGGCCGGCGGAGCCCTGGCTAAGAATCACTGATATAAGGTCTGCTGTGGCACCCGCGAAATTTCTGCCTTTCACAGGGCAGAAAGGAGGCATGGCAAACATGGAACGTTTGGCGAAGTTGGCAACAGTACCCATTGCCCAGCAATAGTGAGTGATGAAAATATCTCGAAAAGTTTATCCTCATGTACAGTGCTGTTACCAACGTTAACGAGGGCAGCCTTGATCTATCTGCACACAAGCAGAGGACATACAAGTCAGTTTCACTGATAAGAATTGTCTGGGCTCAAGCAACTGGCCCTCAGCCAGACATCAAGTCTCCTACTGACTATGGATGGATGGATAGGAGATAGAAGATAGAAGACTGTTGCATCAGTTTGTCAGGAGCCGACAAAGGTTTTTTTTGTAATGAATACACAACAAACTGTAACACGCGACTTTTGACTTAGACTTTGAAATTTTGTGGCCTGCCATCTCATATTTCTAAGTTTCCTATAGAAAGCATGCTTGCAAACTCCCATGACTGTGTCACAATTTGAAATATTTTTTTTTTTTACTTATCTACTCCACTGCAAAAATATATATAACAAGGCCAGACGGTACGCTTCACACCTCCGTCCCCACCAGCTACCTTTCCTCAGGCGGACCCAGATCCTCATACTGCTTTCTCTTTTGACACTTCTGTGACAGGAGTAAACACCTGCCCACGAAGGGAGCCGCCGCATAAAACACATAGGGTCCAGCTCGTCACCACTCCGCCATCAGCACCCAGGGAGACGGGGGCTCTCTCAGGAGTCTTACATCTACTTACAGTAATAAACCCAGCAAGCTAAGACCCCTTCCATTACCCGTC